TTCCATTCCTTTTTGAATTCTAATTTCAATCCAATTGTCTCCTAACAATCTTCAAAGTATCTTCTTGAATATTTGTAATTTGATCCTCGAACTTTGGATTTTACAATTTTCACCATTTTTTGATTCTTTTCTCCAATTTTTCATCAAATATAAAGTTTTACCTACACAATGCAATATAACATAAATTATGTAAAATTTTGTCAAAAAATAATAAAATTCTATAGTTTTAAACCCCGAATATCTGTAGAAAATACACTTATCAGATACCATCATCGCTTCTTCTCTGGGAAAAGAACTTCACGACCCGTGGGCCTTCTAGCTCAACGTGGCATTGCTTTGTTTGGCTTTCGCTCATTGCTAAAAATTCCCCATTGTTGCAACCCATGCCATACTCTCAGGAAAAGCTCGAACGACTTTTAAACAAAAGGGTACCCGTACCCAAAATTTGACATAGGTAGGTAGGTAGAGAATACCTAGGGGCACGAGACAACTTTCTCTAAGGAATTTGGCAAAATAGCCCTGTAACTTCGAGAGAAGGGGTGCCTCTACAAAGTGGGCCGCAGTGACTAGGCCCTGGAAACTGTTTACCGAAAACACAGGTCTCTGCAAAGTTGTAAGACTGTGTATGGGTAGAGTTTAAAAGGTGAAGTTGGTGCTTATCCCATGTTATATTATGAACATGGCGTTGGTGTTGACAATTCAGTGTCCAACATGCACTAAACTTGCTCCAACACATGGATAAGGCGTCTTGAAATTCTGTAGATTAATTGACGTAATGAAGACATTTAGTCTGAAATTGTGGTGGCGACTCCATCTTCAAAATTCTCTTTGGGCTTCATTCTTACTGGATAAATACTGCTTAGGTCATTCCAAAGGTAGGATAACAAGAAATGGTTTGATTCGACAGTCAAGAAAAGCAGAAGGATGAACCCTAATAAACTATCTAGCTTGAAAATTAAGAAAAAGGGCACATCTATTTCTGGCATTATTACTGGTTTCGAGCAAACATTGATTCAAGAACTCTTGAAAGCCATTCACATACAGGACAAAGTAATTGAAGGTGAAACTTGGAACATAACGTAACTTATTGCAACTTTACCAGCTCAGAAGGTGCACGAAAAATCCAAATCCCAAAACATAGAGAAAATAACGATATTCTAAGATGTAAACATACAAAAAATTACTAGAGTAAGGTGGGCATTGGATTTAATTCGAAATCGTGCTCCAGCCTGGTTATATCATGATTCATTGTGTCATCATAGTAAATATAGAGTTAAGCCCCCTTGTACAGGGTGATTTGCCAGGCTATCAGAATGCAAGGTGGCATCACTGCATTGGACGCAGGACAAAAAATAAATTTAAATAGATCAATGCAGTGCTGCCACTTGACATTTTGTCAAACTGCTTAGCAAACCTCCTATATATGTAGTATGTTTCGTAAATATATTCTTGTCAGTTTTCCAATATTTTTTTATGTATTTAAGCGACTCATATTTGATCTTAAATTTCTCATTCACCAGAAATTGATTTCCAGCAACTAAGTTAAATACGTTAATTTACTCGAGGAATAGACATGTTCAGTCTCCACATTTCCGTCACCGATTACTAGGTTCCATTTAAATATACAATCAAAAATTGGTCAAAACTAACTCTCTAAACCAATTTCCAACTCATTTGAACTAGCATGAGATTTTCAAATTTTTACTATCCAAATCTAGCCCCTGTTTGGTTAAAGAAAAAAAAAAATTCAAATTTTAGTATATTTTGATAAAAACTAGTGGAGTGTGTAGTTAAAAGCTATATGATGCCCATAAAATATGTGATTGAATTAATTGTCGACTTTGATTAAAATTTTAATCAACTTTTATAACTGAACCAACCAAATGCCTAATTTACTAACTATAGAGGAAGCACAATAAACAGGGCAGTGATTAAAGTACATTTTGTTGCAAATTTGCGATACTCTTGTCCCCTGATGGATTAGTCACAAATTTATGTTGGAACTATACTAGTTGTGAATTTGTATTCGTAGTTAATATTCTTTTAAATTCTAAATTGACCTCATGAAGATTGAGAATACATATAAAAATTCAATACTTAAAACGTCAGACTACTACTACGAAACTTTTAGTTTTTTTTTTTTCAATTTAATTCCG